AGAAACTATATACTCACTAATCTATTCCATGGTCTCCTCTCCCCAGCTGATCAATTCTCTTCCTCCTAAAGAATAACCAAGCCACACGGCTGGCTTTTCCTTCTCGCTCTCCTTCTCTGTTCCTTCCTTTCTTCCTATCATAAAATTACTAAATGCCTACTATGTGCTAGGTACTAAGAACGTAAATGACCGAGCAAATTACTTAGATTTCTGTAATAAGGAGATGTAGGGGACAACTGGGTCTTCACTGAAACATCCGTGTAACAAGTATTGATCAAGAGCAATCCATGATCATTTTGACTTTAAAGGTCTCTCTGTTCCATTTTCTCATAGATTCATCAAGGACATAAAATCCTAAGAAAACTGAAAAATGTTTAAATGTTACAAAGAACAGAAGAGTTAGGAAGCATTAATCTAAGACATGATTACCTAACCTGAAAACAGATTTCAAAACATTTTATATTCTATTTTACATAAATAAGATTGAACTCTCTTCAATACTTTCAGTCTTTTAATATTTATATAATTCCGGTCTATAAATCATTCTATGGGTTTTCAAGTCTCTTTCTATCATTTATATAGTATATAAGATTATCTCTTCGAGGCAAAATCTTAGACTTTTACTTCTAAGTAGAAATTTTAGAATTCAACAAATATTATTTATTGAGCTCCTCTACCAGAAATTAGGTCAAGTTAGGAAAACAAATAAAAACACATAGTCCCTATATCCAGTGAGTTTTTAAATCCTCAGCATTTAATCTTTTCAGAGATTTTCAAACACTGTATCACAGCAGGAAGGGTAAAGGCTTTAGAAGTAGACAGCAAAGTTGAGTCCCAGCTTTATCAAGGGTTTAGTAAAGGTAAGCAAGTTATTTACCCCCTCCATGCACTGACTTCTTCCTCTGTAAAATGAGGATTTCATCTCCCTTGAAGAGTTTTAAGTACAGGGGCACCTGGGTGGCTTAGTAGGTTAAGCACCCGACTCGATTTCATCTCAAGTCATGATCTCAGGGTCATGAGATCAAGCCCTATAGCAGGCTCCATGCTGGCCCTGAAGCCTGCCTAAGACGCTCTCTCCCTCTGCCCCACCCTGCTTGTTCGCTCTCGCTCTCTCTCTCTCTCTCTCTCAAGAAAAAAAAAAAAAAAAAGAAGAAGAAGTAGGTGTAAGTACAATTAAAGCATCTAGTAGAATGTTTGGCCTAGAAAGGATCTATGATATCTATTTTTCAGTTCTAACCAATCAGGGCAAAAACTCAGACCATTTATACTAATAAGGATCATCCTACATTTCAGAAAATGGTATCAGAACCAGATTACATTCACATGGGCATGTAAGAAGCTTCAAATTTCAATGTGATGCTATATACTTCTATCATCTTATAAATATCCAACATGTTCCTAATTAATAAAGAAAAAAGGCAAAATCCATTGTGAAAAATAACATGTCATATGCACGACATAGCCAGGAGCCTCGCAAATCAGTATGCTGTTTCTTCTCAAGCATACATACCTACTAGGTGTTAAGAACTTCCACAGAACCAACTTGTATCAATCAAAAAACTCCTTCTTAAAGCTAGAGTCTCTATACTTTAACCCCAAAGGCTCGGCAGCTGCCACAAAGGGTAGTATGAAAAACTGAGACTCCCCTTTTCTGACAAAGAACAGCATCCATGAGAACTTTCAGAACAATCGTCCCTGACGTGTTAATTACCTAAGAAAAGACCAAATCATCTTTTGAGCCAAGTATAACCCTCCTACTGAACTTAACTGGAATAAAAATATTTCAATTCCCTGAAGGCACTCCCAAAGTGCCAAATTAGAATTAGAATTTTGGGGCAAGAAAGGATCTGAAGTCCCTGTTACCCACCCTGTTCCCACAGTGATTTAGCTAAAAGGAAACTGAAGCCAAGAGGGTAAGGGAGGGATTTCCCCAAGATACATGGCTATCTAAGGGCAGAGACAGGAGTAGACAGAATTCAAGGTACCTGACTTCTGGTCCAGTGCTCTGCTCACAAGAGCAAGCTTGCACTTCTACTCTAATAAAGGAATGATTTATGCATATCTGACTAAGACAATAGAAGGCAGCTCTGAAAATATTTCAGTTTTTTCTTCGTGGGTTCTCAATAAATTAACCTGTAGTCAATATGAAGAAAATCATGACTATTTCTAAAAACTAAACATTATCAGCTTTTCTGAATTTGAGGGACATTAAAAATTACTGTGACTGTTTCTAAGCCAATATTTCTTCTTTTCTTTAAAGATTTATTTATTTGAGGGAGAGGGAGGGAGGGAGAATGTGCACGCACATGGGGGTAGGGGCAGAGAGAGAGGGATCCTCCATGGGGCTCAATGTCACAACCCATGAGATCATGACCTGAGCCAAAACCAAGAGTTGGCCACTTAACCAACAATGCTACCACCCAGGGACCTTAAGTCACTTTTTCTTAAAAAAGGTTATAATAATAAAAAGCAAATAAGCACATCAACATACTTAGGGCTGAGAGAATTGCTGATTTATCTGCCATCAGATGCAGGAGTCCTTTCTAGGACTTTCTTTTTCTAGAACTTTTTTTTTTTTTAATTTCGTGTCAGCTTTTCAAATATTTAAAGCTAGTGATCAGTCTAGCCATTCCTTTTTCTTTTTTTTTCTTGATAAATATACCTAGAATATTACAAGGTACTTGGACATAGCTCATACAGATCATATTCAGCTCCGTTCAGTTCAACAAAGGTTTATCAAGCCCTTGTGCTAGTTTCTGGGAGTACAAAAAGAAATGAGACCAAGCCCTTGCCTTGGAAGAGCTTACAAGAGAGTAGGGGAGAAGAGCATATACAGAAATACAAGAGAGTAGGGGAGAAGAGCATATACAGAAATAGCTTCATTCTAATAAAAAGTGCTAAAATAGATCACGTACAATAATAGATATAAGATTAGAGAACAAGGAAGGGATGAGAGTGAAGGATACCAAGAATATAACAGTGGGCATTTTGGCAGAGTCACACATTCGGATCCAAATTCCTGGACTGAAAATACTGTATAAGGGGCGTCTAGGTGGCTCAGTCAGTTAAGCGGCTGCCTTCGGCTCAGGGCATGATCTCAGGTCCTGGGATCAGCCCCAAGTTAGGATCCCTGCTCAGTGGAGAGTCTGCTTCTCCCTTTGTGCCTCCCACCTGCTCATGTGTACGCTCACGCTCTCTTAAATCAGTAAATAAAATCTTAAAATATTAAAAAAAAATTCTACATAAAATGCCAAACAATAGTTCAACCTAACCTAAACAAAATGCGATGGTTCTTAGTAGTAAGATAGAGAGAATAATGAGGGACTGAAAATATTAAAATATACACTCATATTAGGGATGCCTGGGTGGCTCAGTTGATTAAGTATCTGCCTTCAGCTCAGATCATGGTCCTGGGGTCTTGGGATTGAACCTCCCATCAGGCTCCCTGCTTGGGGCGGGGTGGGGGGGGGGGGATGTGCTTCTCCACTCTGCTGCTCCCCCTGCTTGTGCTCTCTGTCTCTCAAATAAATAAAATCTTTAAAAAACATATATACACTCATATTAGCCATTACAAGTGTATATTTAAGCAATTATATTTGCTAAAATAAGATAAATTATTCTAAAGCAGATCTTAAAATCAATGGCATTATACAAATTCATAAAGGAAGAGACTAGTTACTGGCTTCTAGTGTGAAGATGAAGTAGTGTGTGTTAGAAGGAGATTATTTGGTATGACACCCAAGAAAGCATTCTTCTCTTTTTTCAATGTGCACTCAAAGAATTAAAACATGAATGTTCAGGATTCATAAAACAATGGCAAGTATAATTTATTGTTGGAAGGTTAATTTTTTCCTTGACCAAGAAACCCATTAAAGACGGAATTTGGTTGAACAATACTTAAAGTAAAATAGCTCAGATCTCTTGAGTATCAGAGTTGAACTTTATTAAAGCTGTCATCTTTAAATTATTTTGAACTGTTACACATAAGAAATAAGATTAAAATTTCCTCTGACCATACAATCTTGTGTAAAGTCCAAAATGCATGTCAACCTTCCCTGTGTAATTTCCTTTAAACTACTAGCATTTATTTAGCCCTCAGTTAATGGTACAAGAAAATTAAGACCTTGTTCAGCACTATGTAGCTTCTTCACAACATATACAAACATGACTCCCATAATAAATATTTAATACATTTAGTTAGTAACTGTCTATAATTAACAGTAATTTTTGTTTCTACATGGTTCTCAATATTGGGATCTTTTTTAATGAAAAAGATGCAAGATACATGTGAGAATGGTTCTTATTTGTTTCAGGTTTGTTTGTTAATTTTTTTAGAGAGGGAGGGGCAGAGGGAGAGGGAGAGGGAGAATCTTACGCAGGCTCCACACCCAGCACGTAGACCACTGCAGGGCTCAATCTCATGACCCTCAGATCATGACCTGCACGGAAATCTGAAGATGCTTAACCAACTGTGCCACCAAGGCGCCCCAGGTTTGTTTATTTTTTTAAACTACCCTGTCATTTTAAATTTCTTGGTTATAACAGGATATTACTTACCTATGCCAGATTGCTCACAGCCCAGGAAACATCACTCCCTCTGAAGCAGTATATGCCAATGCAGTAATTAGGACAAACGCAGAGGGGAAATATTTTAGAATCACCTGGAGAGTTTTTCTAAACTGTACCTTTCAACACTACCACAACTACAGAAAGCCAGTGCTTTAGAGGTCTATTCCAGACCTAAGAACAAGACTGAAATCAAGGATTTACCTAGAACTAAATTTAGAAGCTACCATCCTACAAAGGCTGTTAATAAAAAGGATCTTAAAAAAAAAAGAGAGAGAGTGTGAGAGTAATAAGACCAACACTGAAGGTTTCTGAAGATACCTATGGGTGCAGAGGTGCAGGTTCCCAGCTAGACCGGTAGTAAGACAATAAACAAAAGGAAGAAATCGCCGCCACCACATGTATGTGTAAGCGGTGCGCCTTCAGTGGCTTACCTCCAATATTCTGAATCAGGATGGTGCCGGCTACCACCACCTATAAAAGAACAAATGCATTCACAAGATGAAAGAAGAAATAATATAAAAGGACCCGTATTTTATTAAAATCCCACGACCATTGCTAAAAAACAGATGCAGAAGTGAAGAGAAACTGAAAATACATTGTCAGCCAGTTGTAATACATACAACTAATTATTATCACATAAAAAGCCTTTCTTTAATAGTTCCACAGTTGGGGCGCCTGGGTGGCTCAGTGGATTAAGCCTCTGCCTTCGGCCCGGGTCATGATCTCAGGGTCCTGAGATCAAGCCCCGCATCAGGCTTTCTACTCAGCAGGGAGCCTGCTTCCTCCTCTCTCTCTGCCTGCCTCTCTGCCTCCTTGTGATCTCTGTCTGTCAAATAAATATATAAAAAATTAAAAAAAAAAAAGTTCCACAGTTACTATAAAGAATGCTTTGGAAAATTTTCTTGGCAATCATTTTAAACAGTTAAAAGTGTTAAAAAGCTAGTAACTGGTGATTATCAAAGTAGCGAAAAATTGAAATTAAATCTATCTGGTCTCATTCTCCCTTTTTCACTGCTTTAGAGGTAGAAAGAGACATTGCTTTAGTAGGTCAACTGCTACAGCTTGACATATACTGCGCGGGTACCATTTTGCTTAAAAGAAACTCATATAGTCTTCTGAGTGTGTCAGCGCGGCATAGAGCAAGCTTTTGAACATCCTGTCCCAGGAATTAGTAAAGTTTAGAGCAGAAACCTCTAGAGCCCACATTTTCTCAAATTTGAAATTTTAAGTAAACTATTTCAAACTCAATAATATGAAGTGGGCTTAGTGTTTAGACAAAAAAGAAAGTCGTAAAGACTGTAGTCTATTGGAGAACTCCTCCCCTTTCCAAACTGGGGTAGCTGTTGCTCAGCTCTGGCCAGTTGCTGGCATATGAGAATGTGCATCCAATGTAGCTAGATCCTCTACATTTCATTAACTTTTCAAGAAAAGTCAGAAATGGAATTCTTTTAAAATTTCATAACTCTTAGCTGGAAATCAGTTAAAAAAAAATGTAAGCCAAACCAGTATGCCTAAGGACTAAGTTGAGCTTGTAGGTTTGCTGGCTTGTGATTCAGATAGGCTTCCCCGGGAAACTCAAGACACCTTATCCATTCTTGGTAATCAGATGTACTCAAGGGAAATGACTAAACATTCTACTTCCACTTAGGTCTTTCAATCACAGATATCTTGGTGGATCTACAGCCCCAATGGATATTTGGAGTGGCCTAGCTACCTAGGATCATTCGGTTCATGGACTGGGAACAGATCACCTCTCAGACTCACCTCTATTAAAAATTCCATTGGAATTCCATCATTGCCTATGATGGAAATACTGGAGGCCTTGCAAATCAAGGCTAATAATAGGTGTCTTTGAAGATGGGAGTAGTTGCCACTCTTAACTTTTCCAGAATAAACTTTGCATGTCAACTCATTTAAAGTTTAGTATAAAATGTCACAGTTGGGGCACCTAGGTGGCTCAGTGGGATAAAGCCTCTGCCTTCAGCTCAGGTCATGATCTCAGGGTCCTGGGATCGAGCCCCACATCGGGCTCTCTGCTCCGCAGGGAGCCTGCTTCTTCCTCTCTCTCTGCCTGCCTCTCTGCCTACTTGTGATCTCTGTCTGTCAAATAAATAAAATCTTCAAAATGTCACAGTTACTTGTGAAAAGACTATTTTGAACTTTTGCACACTCTTTCATATGCAATTGATAGCTACTGTCAGTCATACATGAAACTTGGATTTCTACTAATATATTGCAAAAAACAGTAAGGTCAACTTATTCATGATTATCTTTCCATCTTAAGTGCTGAACATAAGCACTTAAGATCTAGAAAGCCTTAAGTCTATCTATCTACCTATGTGTTCAGAGGCTACTATAGTGCATGGCACATGATATTAACTCAATATTTGTTTGATGAGTAAATAAATTTATTTATAGACAACTTTAAAAATCTTTCTTCAAAAGTTCAAAAAATTTAAACATATTTCCAAACAATGTTATCTTATCACGTCCTATCCACATCTGCATCATAACTGGAAAGAAGGAAATAGGAAGGTTTCAACCCAATTATGGAAGTGGAGAGGAAGTAAAAAAAAAAAAAAGGCAAGCAAACAGCAACTCCTCATTTAGAGTATCCTCTGTCCGTGTACCTGCCTCCTAAGAACTGAGTACGTACATAAATGATAATGCAACTATTTCAGAGTTTTAGGGAAAAGGGGCTCTTAATTCTTTTAGATTCTACTACTCAAGGAATGCAGGAAATGCTAGTATGAAATAACAGTCATGATGCTTAGAGTCATATTTATGGATCATACAAAATTCATTTGAGAGTTCTTTTGTACATATAAATAACATTGTCTTCTTCCTTGGTTAAACTGGATACAGGAAACTGATGATGATTATACCAAACATCCCTGTCTTCAGGAAAGAAAAACTGTTATCAGGATGATTAATGAAACCCTTTACCTGAAAGTAACCTATTCTCCATTTTGTTCAAGTTTCAGGTTATTAAGACAAGGCCCAGACCATGAGGCTACACAGCATGTTTTAAATATTTCCTTTTGTACTTTAAAAACAAAGTGAATTTGAATGTAAATACAGGTTTTTTCCCCCTATTATATGGCTGTATCTTTTTCCTCCCAGACTCACTACTTAGAAGTTGGTTTGGCCGGCTATGGATACTGTATCCTTTAAGATTAAAAACAAAATAAACACAAAACACAAACAACAGATTTACAAATGAGAAGAAAAAGTCCTATTTGCAAACAACATGAAAATGGGTTTTAACAGTATGACAGATCTTCAGAAATAAAGTACTACAGCACTCACAAAAATATTTAACTCCTGATTACCCATGGAAGAAGACATTATTTCCTCTGCCTCTCAATTTAGTTTCATATGCTTATCACAAATGAATGCCCAATAAATATTACTGTTATTTCTATTATTCTGAGGAGGAAAAGCAGTTGATTTAGAGTCTGGAGTTCTATGATGTAATACTGGCTTTAAGTAACTGTGGACAAACTGGCCCCTTCATTTCTCTGGGCCTTCATTTCCTCACCTATAAATGAGAAATAGCTCAATCATCTTTTAGCACTCTTTAGCTCTTAAATGATATAATCTTCTAATTAAAAGTTTTGTAAATAGTAATGCCATAATCTTTTTTTTTTAAAGATTTTATTTATTTATTTATTTATTTATTTATTTGACAGAGAGAGAGAGAGAGAGAGAGACCACAAGTAGGAAGAGAAGCAGGCAGAGAGAGAGGGGGAAGCAGGCTCCCCATGGAGCAGAGAGCCCGATGTGGGGCTTGACCCCAGGACCCTGGGATCATGACCTGAGCCCAAAGCAGAGGCTTAACCCACTGAGCCACCCAGGTGCCCAATCATGCCATAATCTTAATTCTATGCTTCTTTCTTTTCTTACCTTTATGAGGATTTGCCCAGTTAATAGAATCAAAATTAATTAAAAAAAATTAAAACAAGCCATTGTTACAGTTATAAAATCATTCAAGTCACTGCTCTCCTTCATTAGCGTGAAAAATACCAATAGAGTTAAGTGTCGAATTAAATTTATAGATGCATCTTCCAGAAGGGAGTATAGAGAGATTTCTTCTCTTTGTCTTTCTGTTCCCATCATTCTGTCCTTCCTTCACTTTAGTTTCCTTTTAGTCTCCTAATTTCTTTCTCTTAGATATATCTATCTCTTTTAACTAGAAATGGAAGGGTAAAAAATGTCTCTATGGATTTGGGAGACAGTAAAGAGTAAAAAAAAGATTTACCTTTCCAGGTAATCCAAATGCAAAGAGTCCAAGATCTTCATAAGATGTCACAGCTGTTAAGAGAGATTATAATTTTTACTTTTACACAAAATGATTCGTGTGTCAAACCTTAAAGGGAGGAAAGCTATTCTACTATGATCTTTTAGCTATGGGATGGTCAGATTAAATTTAAAGCAGAAGTAACCACTTCTGGGGGAAACTTTTGGAGACTTATGGGCTGTAAGGATAGAGTCTTCTTAGAATAAGCAGAGCTTAGCAAATCTCAATGTTATCTAATTACCACCCAGGCTACAGTAGCTCAAATGCACTAATTACTCAAGAACAACCCACTTCTCCCTAAACAGTACTTGCATACTACATTACCCTAAAGCAAATTTTCACTGGCAATAGTTTCTGAAAACTGCATATATAATTAAAGTTAGATAAAGTATAAAATTTGTATCATACTTCCAGAGACATTCATTTTTCCTTACCCTCATAATTAGTAGGACATATACTTTCTTTTTTCATAAGAGTATGGAATTACATTTTCATTGCACATATTTAAGAAATACAGGCACAGAAAAGATGAAAATTAAATGGCTCATAAAGAACCACATTTGCCCTTAACCCATATAGCTTCATGTTCTAACTAATGACACCACCAGTAAAAATGAGAAGTAAAAACACTTATGTAATCCTATAGTTTGGAAAAAAATGCTTAACCTTATGTACTTAAACTAGAAAGAAGCAGACTAGCAGATGCTAAGGCTTGGTACAGCAATACACTTTTCCTATTGAGTCCAAGATATGGCTCATCATTTTTTAAAGCAAGTTTTAATATATTCTCTCAAGACATACACGGGTTTTCTTTAAACTGTCACTAACTTAACAAAAAGCTCCTCTCTACTTTTGTATACAAAGATCACCAAGTTTGTAAAGGTAAGCATTTTAAAAGCCATATGTGGCCTTTGCATATTATACCTACAAAGTTGAAAAGAAAACAGAAATGTTGAAAATAAAAAATTACTAAAATACTAATTAAGAACAGAAATTTTAACTCTTTTTTCATTGCAAAAGTTAAATTTTTTTTTTAAGATTTTATTTATTTATTTGATAGACGGAGATCACAAGTAGGCAGAGAAGCAGGCAGAGAGGAGGAAACAGGCTCCCTATTGAGCAGAGAGCCCGACGCTGGGCTCGATCCCAGGACCCTGGGATCACAACCCGAGCCGAAGGCAGAGGCCTTAACCCACTGAGCCACCCAGGTGCCCCAAAAGTTAAATTTTTAACTTTAATCTATTATCAGAGTTGATGGATGACACAGGTATTTTTTGAAATGTATTTACATACTGCTAAACACAGTGAACAAAAACAATTTAGTTATGATTTGAGGATATATAATTTGATTATAAGTAGAAATCTTTATACTTTAATAATGAAAGACTTCTACAATAATCTTACAGGGGTAGATTTTGGATATATTTTAGAACATGAAAATTAAAAAGCGGAGTTACAAAATTAAGAATTGAAATTTTTTCCTCCTATGTGAAATGCCAAAATTCTTTTTTCCAAATATACATACACTAAAGTGAATGTCATCACAAAAATTAATAATTATTTTAATCAATAAATCTTTCCTAGTTTGTTTTAATTTTCTAAACATAATTGATAATATTATATAGGGGCACAATTCCTTAAATTTGACATTCCAAAGCCTTGGTATATGTATTAAACCAGAAAAATTATCTAAATGTTAGCTTCTAACTAATTTGCCATTGACAAGGTAAGTTTGCTGAATATTATGTGTATGTGAACCAAGTTGCCAGAAGATCTCTGATTTGCCACTGAAGTAGATTAAAGGAACATCATTGTTTAATTTTAGCACCCCTCTTTAATATTACAATGAAAATTATCGTTCTTTTTTTCTTTTAGATTTTATTTATTTATTTGCCAGAGAGAGAGAGAGAGAGAGAGCACAAACGAGCACAAGCAGGGGAACACGTAGGTTCCCTGCTAAGCAAGGATCCTGATGTGGGACTCAATCCCAGGACCCTGGGATCACGACCTGAGCAGAAGGCAGATGCTTAACTGCATTCCTTAGGTTCTTTCTTAAGAAAAACTTTCCTTCTGAAAAAATGAAACAAGATGGGATTGGGAGGGAGACAAACCATAAGAGACTCTTAACCTCGCAAAACAAACTAAGGGTGGCTGGGGGGGTAAGGGGGTTGGGAGAGGGTGGTGGGGTTATGGACATTGGGGAGGGTATGTGCTATGGTGAGTGCTGTGAAGTGTGTAAGCCTGAGGATTCACAGACCTGTACCCCTGGGGCTAATAATACATTATGTGTAAGTAAAAATAATTTTTAAATAAATAAATAAAATGCAGGCTTCCATCAGTCTCTCATAAGAAAAAAAAAAGGAAGAAAAGAAAAACTTTCCTTCCAAGAACTTAAAGTGAGGGGGCTTTTCAGTGTCTCAATATACTGAACAAGTTGCTATGTAGAGGTTCTCAGTCAATGAGCAAGTTATTAAGATGACACTGATCCAAAAATTTAACTAAGGTTTATTTTATTTTTGAACAGCAGAAAACAAGTATAGATTGTATATTTAGTAAACATGAAAAGCAAATAAATTTCCCATAAGCAAGTCATAATACTGAAGGAATCCAAAAAAGATTGGCATTTCAATTACCTAAATAAACATTTATTAATTTTTATATTACAACACAACCTTTATTATCACAGAAAATACCATCAAACTAACAGTTTAATAAAGATAAATGTAGCTGCAACTTCTTTTTTAAAATTTTTTATTTATTTATTTGTAAGAGAGACTGAGAAAGAGAGCATGAGCAGGGGGAGAGGGAGAAGCAGGCTTCCCGATGAGCAGGAAGCCCAGTGTGGGGCTTGATCCCAGGACCCTGGGATCATGACCTGAGCCGGAGGCAGTCGCTTAACCGACTAAGTCACCCAGGCGCCCCTGTACTTGCAACTTCTGACAGTAGTGGAATACATTTTAGCAATGCCAAACTTCCTCTCTATTACTTTCTAGTTTTATAAAAATACCTCTAAATACACCAAACTCCCATATGCAGAGTAAAAAACCTTTAGACTTTTAAATGGAGTACAATGTTCAAATCTGCACTCTATCTTTCAAATTAGCCTGTCTGGCTAGCCATTCAGTTTTGTCGCTGTCATCATACTTCTTTTATGTTGCAAAAATTAGAAGCATTTTCCCATGTCTAAGACATCATGAGTATAAGTAATGGCTTCTGGCTTAACACTGAGGCTTTACTAAAATATGTGCCAGTCAGCCAAATGTTTTATCTCTACAAATTCCCTTTTTAATGGTTTTCTGGATCATCTCAACATATAAACCAAAACAACCCTAGAGAAACATTTTTAAAGTTCTATCATTTGGGCAGTTAAGATGCTAGTATACAGTGTAAACTGGTATGACATTTGGAATACAGTTTAAACAATGAACCTTTAAAAAAATCTGTAACACTCAGGTGTGCTTGGGTGGCTCAGTCGGTTAGGTGGCCGACTCTTGATTTTGGCTCAGGTCATGATCTCAGGGTTGTGAGATCAGCCCCTTGCCAGGCTCCAAGCTGCCACTCAACACGAAGCCTGCTTGTACTTCTTCCTGCCCCTCCCCCAGCTCACTCATTCCCTCTCTCTCAAATAAATAAAATTTCTAAACAATTTTTTTCTTTTTTAAAAAATTTTCTTTATTTGACAGAGAAAGATCACACGTAGGCAGAAAGGCAGGCAGAAAAAGAGGGGGAAGCAGGCTCCCCACTGAGCAGAGAGCCCAATGTGGGGCTTGATCCCAGGACCCTGAGACCACGACCCAAGCTGAAAGCAAAGGGTTATCCCACTGAGCCACCCAGGAGCCCTAAAATATATATTTATAACATCTTACCCCTAGAAGCTTGTATCTTAGAAAATAAGACTAAAATTATACGCAAAGATTATCATGCATAATTTACACTGAAAAAAAAAAAAAACACACAAACCACCTAAATGTTCAATAATGATAAAGTGGTTAGGTATATTACAGTAGGTATTCCTGATCCATTTAATATGTAGCCATTAAAAACTATGTTTATAACATGAAAAATGCCAATACTGAGTGAAAAAGTTGATTTGAATATGATCCATAAAATAGAAAACATAAAAAGAGTGGGATTAACTATAAACTGATAATAATGAATGCATAGTCTTCTTTCTTTGTCTTCCTTTCTTGGGGGGCATTCAAATATTCAACAATGACCATAATGGGCTGGTGGCACTTTAAAAACCATACCTCTTGAATAGTTCTATTTCTTCCCCCAAATATCAGATAGGGTTGATTTAAGCTGCAACTTTAAATTTCTCTGGTGTTTAATAGTTTAAGTATCATTTGGTCTACTAACAAAGGATATTTTCCTGCTCTTTCATATGATCAATGTTTTAATATCTTATTTATAAAGTGAAAAGGTTTTGAGAGATCTCAAAATAAGACGTGGTAATGACCAGTCACATTAGAAGCATATTCCTACAGAATAGGAATAACATTAATTATGAAAATTATAAAATTAATTCAGTCATTTACAAGAAACCATACAAGCAGTGCTTGGCACAATTCTCCTAAAATAAATACCTGAAAGCAGTCGTTAGCAATCTATTTTAGGAAATTATTTTTTGATATTAGAGAAATCAATGTTATGTTTTCAGGAGGCAGAAAGGCTGTAAATCTTAACAAGTAAATTGGGGGAAATTTTCTTCTTTAATGTACCATCAAGGCACACTTTAGTGCTATTTTGGCTAGACCAAGAGTTTGGCCTCCACACGAATCATTTGGAAAGCTGCTTCCCATAAAGTCATGGAATATTTCCAGCTAGTTACTCCAGTGTTCTGTCTGCTTTGCATTCTTTCCTCAATGAAATAGGACAATTAATAAAGTCTGGTTACAGTACAAAGCCCAAGTTTCAGCAGCAGCAATATTATCTTTGGATCCGAATTGAGGGACATGAGTTATTCAAATACAGTTCAACTCTCAGAAAGTTGTCCATTTGGAATGCACCCTTA